CCCTCTACCAAACTGAACTGACTTCTTCAATGGTTATCAGGCTTATATCTAGTAGCCACCACTCACTAGTGCCCTCACATGGCAATTAGAGGTACTACTTGACCCAGGTAACTTTCCTGATAAGTCAGAAAGTACAGACTAAAAACTCATGTAACATTTTAAACCGTTACATACCCCTCCCCAAGGTCTAAAAATTTGACCCATGGAAAATTTTTAAATTCTGGGTATGATAAGTGTCTACCTGAACAGGTTCCGTCAACATGGTTACCTTGTAGTTTACAGGACCTAGCTTTTTCATAATCTTAGCTGGACCTTTCCATTTAGGTGAGATCTTAGCCATGAAAGCATCATCTGCACTAGAAAGAGGATGCGTCCGCACCCATACTAAATCCCCTTCATTGAAATTTTGAGCTCTTGTCTTGAGGTTGTAGTACTTTTTTTGTTTAGTTTGTGCCTTCTCTACATTCTCTCTTACGGAGTCATACAGAATCTTTTGACGTTCCAGTATACTATAAGCTGGTTGGTCTGGATCTGGTGGATTCTGTAAGGCTCTCTGCAGAGGACCTTTCAGTTGTCGTCCTAGGGCTATCTCAGCTGGTGAATACCCTGTACTCTCATGCCATGCGGTATTTAGCGCAAATCTGAACTCGCATAACCACTGATCCCAGGTACGGTGGTTTTGTTCGACATACGTGGCAATCATAGTTTTCAAATTCCGGTTGACTCGCTCAGTGAGATTTGACTGAGGATGGTATGCAGTGGTGAGTTTTTGTGATACTTGCCACTGCTTACATAATTGAGCCAAGAGGTTTGAGGTGAATTGTGCACCTCTATCGGACACGATAAAAGCTGGTGTTCCCCATCTTGTGAAAATCTCCTCTATCAGAATTCGCACAATTGTTGTAGACTTAGCAGCTCTCATTGGGAAAACCTCTACCCATTTAGTAAAATAGTCTACTATAACAAGGAGGTAACTATTCTGGCGGGTGCTTCGTGGGAATGGTCCCATGATGTCCATGCCAAGCATATATCCCGGCTCAACAATGGGCACACTTTGTAGTCCGCCTGCAGGTTTTAAGTTAGTGGGCTTATGCTGTTGACATTTCTCACACTTTTTGCAGTGCTGCCATACGTCAGTTCGGACTGATGGCCAGTAAGCAAATTCCAAAAGACGCATCAGAGTTTTAAATTTACCCAAGTGACCACTCAGAGGACTGTCATGTGCATAAGTTAACATTACTTCCTTCAACTTTGCGGGGACTACAATTTGCAATCTTTGGCCTTCTTTAGAGTCTGGAACACTCCTAAATAAAATCTCATTTTTAAGGAGGTAGTGCGTTCTCTTAAGATCTGTGGTTTTCTGGCTCTTGGCTTTATCCATGATGTCTTTGTACTCTGGGTCTTTTTTCTGTTCATCGGCAATTTGAGACAAGTCCAACGGCAGATCCCAAGAGACAGAAGTAAAACCTCGCTTAGCTGGTGTGTGTAACAACACAGCCGGGGATTCAGCTGCATCTCTCCTAGATAAGGCATCAGGCACTACATTACATTGTCCTCTCCGATACCGTACAGTAAAGTGATACCCTTGCAATCTGATCGTCCATCTTTCCAGTCTGGATGAGGGTTTTGGATGCTGGAACAGCCAAACTAAGGATGCATGATCAGTGATCACCTCAAAAGCTCTGCCTTCTAGGTAATGGTGCCACTTCTCTACAGCCCACACTACTGCTAAACATTCCTTTTCTGATGCAGAATAGGACTTCTCTGCACCTCTGAGCAACCGGGAAGCATATGCGATTACTCTCTCTTGACCATCCACCTCTTGTGTTAAGACAGCTCCTAAGCCTACATCACTTGCATCGGTCTGTACTTTAAAAGAAGAATCAAAGTTAGGAGTACATAAAACAGGTGCTCTAGTGAGTTCATCTTTGATGAGGTCAAATGAACGCTGACAGTCATCTGTCCACTCCACCTCACTTCTTTCTTCTTCAACGCATGCAAGGGCGCGGTTTTAGTGGAGAAGTCAGAAATAAACCGATGATACCAAGCCGCCAGGCCTAGAAATCGTTGTAACTGTTTTAAAGACTTGGGAGTTGGGAATGTTCTGATCGCATCCACTTTGTCCGAGTTCACCTTGACTCCATCCACTGTGATGGTATGACCTAAATAGTCAAGTGATGAACATATGAACCTACATTTCTTGAGGTTAAGCGTGAGACCGGCCTTGTGCAGACTATGAAACACTTGTTTGAGATGGTGCAGGTGTGTTTGGATATCTGGTGAGTATACAATAATGTCATCGATATAGACCATGCAACATTTGTTCTTGTGCTCTCTGAGAACTTGCTCCATCAGCCGTTGGAAAGATGCTGCGGCGTTTTTAAGGCCAAAGGGAAGACACAAGAATTCATATAGCCCTGAAGCAGTAATGAAAGCAGTCTTTTCCACACTTGCAGAATCCATTTCAACTTGCCAGTATCCGCTCTTTAGGTCCAGCGTGCTGAATACTTTGGCTCCTTGGAGAGAATCTAGAATATCCGTGATTTGAGGCATCGGATAAGCGTCGAGGTGAGTTTTTGCATTAAGGCCACGGTAATCAACGCAAAACCGGGCTCCTCCATCTTTCTTATCTACGACCACCACAGGTGAAGCCCACGGAGACGTGGAAGGTCTGATGATTTTTAGTTGAAGCAACTCCTTAATCTGTTCTTCAATAAAATCATTCTTAGTTCTTGAAACTCTGTAAGGTCTCTTCCTTAACGGGAGTTCATCAACTGTTTTAATCTCATGCTTAATGAAGTTCGTCCGACCTAGCTTACGGGTACATACTGAAGGCCAATCACACATGACAGCTTTCAATTGATCCTTTACCTCATTTGAGGCATGTGAGTTTTCCACTGCTTGATCAAACAGCTTCAACATCTCTTCATTTTGCACCATTCCATTATCTCCTTGTGCAGCATAGAACTGAACAGCAGCATGCTCGGGCATTTTATTAAAACACATAGGATGACCAGAGTTAACGTCAGGCATGAATATACGTGAAGCATTAAAATCAATAGTTAGCTTGGCTTCTTTGAGGAAATCCAATCCCAAGATGACAGGAACGGCCAAGCTTTCATCGTTCATCACATAAAACGTGACTTCATGTTTTACTCCGTATATTTCACATTCCAAAGTATTTTACCCTGAGTTTTCTGACTCTGGCCATTAGCGAGCATGAACGTTTGAGCACTTCTGGTCAATTGCTCATCCCTCCTCCTCAGTCTCTGCCATACTTTATGTTGCAACAAAGAAAAGGTGCTTCCTGTATCAATTACTGCATTGAAGTACGAATGATTTAAAATTATAGGAGCTTGTAGTACATTGTTACATTGCGAGCTAAACGTGGGATCAATAAACATGAGACGATTCGGTTGATCCTTTCCACTTGAAGATTTTTTCTTCTGCTCCTCATCTTTACCTTGACTCCATCTTCTCTTGCTCTCCACCCAGTCCTTCTCTATTTGTGTGCCGAGACGAACCAGATCATCAATTGTTTTTACTGTTCCCCTCAACAGTGAAGCCAAGCGAGGATTGCAGTTTCTCAAAGTTGCTTGTACAAGCTCCTCTTCAGACATTCTAGGGTTAATCTTTAGTGACATAGCTCGGTAGTTGAAAGCAAAGTCTCTTACACTTTCGTTAACTCTTTGTCTGTAATTTGCCAACTTCTGAGCAGCCACTTCCTGGTGATCTTCATTCAAAAATGAAAAAAGGAACTTCTCTTTGAACGCGGTCCACCCTGTAATATTTTGCTTCTCTGCTCTCCACCAACTCTTTGCAGTTCCTTTCAGACTTACTGATAATGCTGCTAACAATTCTTCATGATGCAGAGGTCTCAGTTCTTTATACTCTTCAAAACGGTCGATGAAATCTATAGGGTCTTCTGAATCAAAATTGCTAAAAGTTGGCAATTCCAGCTTAACAGTAGGTAGGGGAGATGATGAAGAAAGATATGTTACTTGCTTTGTGGCATCTTGTGAAACAGAAGCAATCTGGGATGGTGTTTGAGACTTATGAGAAGTAGCAGTGCTAGAATATACTGGAGTGGACATGATGGGCTTAATAGCTTTGAATTGTTGATCTAGCTGTTTATCTCGCCGCTTTAAACAATCCACAATGCTCTGACTCAATTCATCAACTCTGGTATAACATTGCTTTTTAACCCGATCCAGCTCTCTCTGAAAACCGTAGTTAATCCTGTCTTCCCAGGCCTTAAACTCCGTATCCATTGATTCTGTGGTGACAAGTTCACTGACTCGGTGCTCAAGATCAGCCAGATGTTCTTCAATACTGCTCATGCGTTGATTTTTTTGTTCATTGTCTAACTGCAGTTCTTCTTGGTAAAACTCAGGTGGAGGAGGGGGTAATGGGAAGTCGACAGATCTAACAACATGCTCATCACTCTGCTCTGGAAACACCTCTCTTTCTTCCTCTGAATCTAAATACAACTCACTAAAAGTGTCTATAAGATTCGCTACAGAGCTTCTGCGACGAACAAAAGCTCCATCTGAATAATCAATGATTGGTGTGCCCTCTTCCATAGCTAGTTTATGATACTTGCTTATGAAGGGATTTCAGTACCGTCGAAATTTATATTTAATACAAGGGATTCCTTAAAAGTTTAAATTAGTCCCTGTTCGGGCGCCATTCTGTAACACCTCTCTTTCTTTCTCTGGTGTTACTCTGAGGAGGTTCAACAGAATTTCGACTGGTACTGAAATAAAACCACTTCACTCAACAAATATAAATTTTTCTATTTTATTTCACACGTGCCTATAATTGCCCCAACAATAAACAATATAAAGAAACCAACAGTCTTTGTCTCCTTGTAAATCAAACCACCATATAGACAACTTATCATCAGTGTCCAGCCTTTGGAGGAGTTGAAATGAGGATGGTGAATGAATGAGTATGACCCAGTGGATTTTTGAGATCGACGCAATGATATTATCCAATTA